CACACACACACACACACACACACGCAAACAAACATACACATACACAGAGTGAGAGAGAGAGAGAGGAAGACAATGGCAAACGGAGATCTTAGTCCTATTCCCTACCCTATCCCGCACGCTCCTACGTGATCCGCTCCTGGCTGCTGCTAGTATGTTCAAACTACCTTCTTCTTCCCCCGAATACAACGTACGGTCATCATAGCTGTATTTGAGGCACCTTTCAGTCTAGATACAGCTATAATGACCGTACGTTGTATTCGGGGTGAAGACGGTACCCATTAGTGACCCCAGACGCCTGCTAAGAACAAGTGTATCGAAAAACACCTAAAGCGCAGCCCGCAAAGCTCTTACCACGGTACCGCGTGTGTACTATTACTAATACATTGTGCAGATTACTGAGACAAGGGGTTGTCAAATGCAAAATGACAAAGAAGGAAGATCACAGAAATTCAATTGAAAGACGAGGAAAAGACGAGGAAGGTGCTAACGAGGGCGCAAACCACACCAAACTAAGAGATGACTACCTTCTTCTCCCGAATAGAACGTACGGTCATTATGCCTCTATTTGGGTCAACGTTCAGTCTAGATACAGCAATAACGACCGTACGTTCTATTCGGGGGGAGAGGTAAGATCGCTCAGCCGCGAGGCCGCAGGGAAGAAAAGCAGCGACCGAAACTGACGACCTCATTTTTCGGGCCCACGAAGCGAAAGCATAGACCGAAAGGAGAACAAACATAAGCCACCTCCTTTTGCAGAAATCTTCCTCAGGAGTGAAAACAACAGACATCAAATGCTTACTTTCCTTCCAGACGTAGTCGGAGAGCCGAAAATTGCCTTCAACTCATTCATTGAAAAAAGGAAACGAACATCGTACATATGTACCAGGAAAATTGTATTCCACTCGTTCATTAAGAAAGGAAAAAATAATCATACATATGAACCAGTACGCCTAAGAGAGAAGCAGCGGATATACAATACGCGAACTGTCATTCCGTACGTTCCAAGACGGCGGCTGCTGCTTAGTCATGCAGCATAGATGACCAGTAGCGGGAGCAAGAGGCTGGGTGGGCGAGAAAGGGAGAGGTATGCAGGGAAGAGAATGCGGGAGGCACGTACGAGGGGTACGTCTCTCTCTCTCTCTCTCTCTCTCTCTCTCTCTCTCTCTCTCTCTCTCTCTCTGTGTCACAAACTCACATTTACCCCCTTCCACCTCTCTCTCTCTCTCTCTCTCTCTCTCTCTCTCTCTCTCTCTCTCTCTCTCTCTCTCTCTC